GAAATAATTACAAGAAGATGAACTTTGATTGATTTGTACTTGTTCTTTTAAGTAGGCATGCGCACATTTTTGAGGAATTGTACGGGGGGAATTCATGCAGAGACAGAAATTTTGGCTTGCACTGGTGTAAACTTTAAGCAATAGCCATATATATAGTTTGTGTTTGTACAATTTGCTTACAAGGAGCAGGCGAAATCGCCACTTGTTTCTACATCATCAAGATCCATGCTGCTTCCCAAGTAATACCCATCTACCTTTGGGGTAGTTTTCCTTGCCTCTTGTGTTATGAACTGCACTTCGAGGCTTTGAGATGGATAATTTATGTTGTTGCTTTGCGTTGCTACACCTTCCTCAACAGGCAGGTTCTTTTTGGAGATCATGGATGGCTTTAAAATTTTAATTTACGAATTTAAAAGACGAGATCAACACTCAGTTTTCTCATTGAACTAGAGGCAACATTAAACACTGTAAGGAAAGTGAAAAGCTAATCTCACATTTTATTCAACTTGTTTCATATATATACTGACCTTATAGCACAAGAAAAGGAAAACACAAGAAGGCACTTCTTTTAGCTCAAACTCTCAAGGTTGTTTTCGAACTCAAGAGGAGGGCCAAGGTATGGTGCACCTTTAACAACCAGGTCTTCCGGTAGATCTTTTCCATCAAGCATTGCATAACCTGACCCGAAAACATACACGAAAGACGAAAGAAATGAAAATCTATAAACAAAAAAAAAGAAGATATAAATGTAAGGCACACAGAAAAAGTTGCTAATTAATTAATCACCGGGGAATGAAGGAATTGGGAAATCGGTGAAGTAAGTTGAAGGTCGCCCAAACTCTTCAGAGTAAGGTGGGGACAAGACATCCAAGATAGCACAGGGAGTCAAGGCAGTAAAGGAATGGATGTTTCCGCCGCTCCTAGGAAACAGCACGGACGGTTCGCATGGTGCTTTGAAGATCCCATCAATGACAGCTCTTGCCACTCCCTCTGCCCCCACCATTTTCATTAATTATCCACATGACACAACTCAGAAAAGTATTATTTCATAAAAGAAGAAACAGGAACAATTCAATAATTGTGATCATACTTATCTGGGGACTGGAGTTGTGCACCTTGATCCAATCGTATGCTTTGACATGGACGGTACCGTAAAGAATTTTACTCAGAACCGTCATCTCAGGGTGGTCATGAAGAGGAAGTGCCCTTCCTGCTGGTAGGCAAAAGATGCCTATCTGCTCATGATACAACAAAGCAATATGAACACGGTTGCATGCGTTAAGGAATAATTGAAGAAAGTTATTTCGGAGATGTAGCTGACCGAGAAATTGTTGCACTCGTGAATATGAATGTAAGTTATCTCAGAGATCCCTCTTCCGCAGATCAATTTTGGAGATCCATGCAAGTTAAATTCATCTATCCCGACATCTGCTGCTTCAACTTTATCTGCAATGAAGACTCCAGAGCTAATTACTCTTCAATTCTGTTACTGGATTTATTAATTACCCAAACAAGAAGATTCATGTCACCGTTACCTAAGTTGGTTTTCAGCCATTGAATCTGTTGAAGGGTTGGAAGCTCCTTCAGCGAAAACACAGCATGGCAAGCATCATACAGCATTTGGATCCTGCTCTTCTCCATTTGAGCGGCGGTGGAATTCGTCACCATTTCACAATCAGGATGATCTTTCTCGGCACGCTTAGTCAGAATCAGCACATAGTTTATATATTGGACAGTGGCAAAAGTTTAAGTTAAGAAAACCTGTGGGCATAATGGGGGTTTATCTTGACTTTGGTTTTAACTCTTTACAGTGGGCTGGCTACCTTTTAACACATTGAGTCAATCTAGCGAATAGCTGGTAAACACAACACAACGATTGGACATCTGGCCCTTGTTTAAACACCTGGCCTTATGGGTTCATTTGATTAAAGGTGTACAACCCACCCTCATGAGGTTCAAACCCTTTTCTCTTTCCAAAATTTATACTTTGTTCAAAAAAAAAAAAAATGGCCCTTCTTTATAGACAAAAATCAAAAAATGGGGTTGGATGTAATTAATATGCAGGGAAAAGGGGGACTAGAGATTTTACGTTACATTGCACCACTGCCCGCGGGAAACGGAATTAAAAGTTGACTTCTGCTGCAAATCATTGCTCTGTGGCGTTAACTCGTAAATATCATTTTTCTGGGAAGAAAGAAAACAAGGGCAACTAAACTGTGGGCATTTTCGTTTTTCTTTCCTTTTCAAGCTCAAAATAGAAACTCGATATATTTTTTTAGAGGTTTTGAGGAAAATTAAAACTTTTTATCAATTAAAATATTAAAATGAAAATGAACAAAAAAATAAAACACTTTTAATAAATTAACACCTAAAAATTACTTTTAATGAATTAATACCTACAAAATATTTGTTAATAGTATTTAAATACTTTTACAATAAGTCTTTTATCCCACTGGCTTTTAGTGGCTTCAGAGAGCTTGTTATCTGTCTCTCTATGCAATACAATTTTATCCTAAAGTAAAAAGCATAGCAAGGCAAAATTTCTTTATTATAATTTGTAATTTCATTTAGATTAATAGCAATAATATGCTAAATGTTTATTGGTTGATATTAAGGGTGTTCATATCCAATTCAATACGATTGATCAAACCTAAACTTACCAAATCTAATAAAAAAACCGACCTAAATCGATATAAAATTGGATTGGTTTGAATTTTAAAATTTTAAAACCGATATAATTGGTTTGGTTCGTGATTTTACTTTCAAACTGCCCGAACTGTCAATTTACAAAATAAAATCCGATTAGAAGATAATTTAATTAAATAATATAACATATTTTTGTAGTATTTTAAATTTTCTTTTTCTTATTTTACAAGATTATAACTCCATTAACTTAATTAAAAAAATAAAAATAAAACGTTTCCATATTCTCTAAGTTATTTCTCTAAGTTATTTCTCCATTTTAATCATGCACTCTAACCTTAATTCTAAATTTTTAATTCACCTGTAATTTTATCATCTCAGAACTGGTTTGCGCTTTTACTTTTAGAATCCTAAATTTTTAATTTATTCTTAAAATAATCTTATGATTCTCTTAATTAAGTTTTAAATAAGTATAATTATAAAAGCCTTAAAACTATATAATAAAATTAGTCTTAATATTCTATTATTTTTGGATATTTGGTTTAAAAGTTTTAAATTTTGATTATGAATGTTTATAATCAATTTTAGTAATATTCATGTTAAATGTTATTCATTTTTAACAGGATTTAGAAAAAGAGACTAAATTATTAGTGCATTAAAAAAAACCAATTTTCATCTTCAATAATTATTTACGTGCTAGAAATTTGAAATTATTTTTTATTGTTTTTGGTGCCTTAAGTGATGTAACCAAGAAGAATTTTCATAGTTTTTCAATTTTTACAAATGTAAAAAAGAGTATAAGAATTTGTTTATAATTTTTACTTATTATTATGTTTTTATTGATTTGGATGTTAATGTATTTTATAGTTATATTTTCTATGTGATGTTAAAATATTTTTACATTATCTTAAATATTTAATAGTGTTAAAAACCGATCAATCCGACCGTACCACATCGATTTGATTTAAATTGGATTGGTTTGGTTATCACATAATAATAGATTAAATTGGTTTAAAAATTCTATTAACTGATTAAATTGGATTGATTAAAAAAATAGTAAAATCTGAACCAAACCACACCGCAAATACTCCTAGTTGATATTATGAAAATTAGATATATGGATATCTAATTTAAAACTAATTAGTTACAGATGGAGTAGTTTTTATTATACTTAACCTCAAATATTCTTTTATTATAATATTAATGTGAAATTTCTTCTTTTAACA